GACTGGGCGCCGCCATATTGTTTGTAGCAAATGCAAGTGATATGAGTGATTGAATCTGATTGGTCAATAGGAGGGACACAGAAGAGACATGACTCGTAGTAGCCACTGCTGTCCCTCCGACCGAGCCTGGAAGTTCCAGTCAATTCGGCAAGTATTGGAACGAGACTTCTATAATCAGTTAATGCCCTTGCCCCGGTAAGATGCCCGTCGCTGAACCACACAGTTCTTCACCGCAGTTGAGGCCATACTCTGAGGGTACATAACACCACTGGCTCGAAGACCTACCTCACATTTACTGCAATACACGAATCTTAAAGCAAAGCGTATGCAGAGGCTGTCGCCAGAAATCATTGAACATTGTATCACCACTTTACATAGAGTCTATTTTCCTGTCCTATTTCAAATTGTACATCCGATTTGACCAGATACAGGTCGACCACAGGATACTCAACTCTATATTCAAAATATCAGGAAACTAGTCAAGGAGATAGACTCGTTGTTCACCAATAAGAGCTCCACGTGTCAGCTATTCCTATCCGCAGTCAAGGCGCAATAGTTTTAGACATTTAACTTTGGCCGGGGAGATACACATCATGGTACCTGACCAGTGACACAACTACACAGTGACTGTCATCAGTCTAACTTTTCAGTTCTACACAATGTTGTATTTCACTGCTCTTGTGTTATTCGAACACATATTTATCATTGCGGCTGCTTTAAGCTCAAGTAAGGGAGTTTATGTTTATAGTATTTATGATAATGGAGTAATGGTTGTTTAACTTGTTGAATTTAATGTCAAGTATATATTCCAAGTGAAATATGTTTCTGTTTGCTAAGCTTTTCCACATTATCGTTTCTCAACGGAAGACTTACAACAATATGATGTGTTGTTAGTGAATAAAAAGGCCGTGTTAAGTTTCCAACAATGCAGTCATGCAGAAACGTCTAACCCTGTTTAGTGTATAATAAACTCCACACACATCAGTTGAGCTTCAGACATTGACAGGTCACTAAATGCATCCACTAAAAACATTGAAGGTTGATAGAAACGGGTACCGTTCTTGTTATTTGTCTTGTGTTATAACTGTAGTTATGTAATAAGTATCATTATGTCCATAAATCTTCATGCTTCTCGAAGCTGTGCGTGGACTTGAATCTAGCGGGTACGTCAATGCCTCATATAATCTTATGAAATGTTCGTGAGATATGTAATTTATAGTCCCGTGGGCATTATTTCAGCCAAATTGAGACCAGAACATATTATTCATTATTTACATACAAATCTGTCTAAATGAACAATAGACATATATTGTTATGATGATGATAATGTACAGATTAAAATAAAAGATGCAGCAAAGAGGGTTTGGGTGATCCTGGCACAGTCAGGCTGGTTAGGCTCATCATCAGCTCAGGGCCCTTGCCCCCTCTACACGCAGCCCAGACAGCGAATGGGACTTCTCCCAGGAAGCGCTGCCTAGTCAAACCCACCTAGAACTCCCCAACACTGCAGCCTTCTCCATTACCCAGATTGTCAGAAGGGCTGTATTCCTGGTAGCAAACCCGGGTACTCTCCCAATGTCAGTCAACAGATTGGGAGGTACCAAACCTAAGGCATCGAGAACAGTGGGGAGTCGGAAAACTTGATACTTGGGATGCAAACGTGACATTTCGAAAGCGAGGTCAGCATATTTGCTATGTTTTTCCTCAATCTTGTCAATCACACTGATGTCAAAAGGGACAGAAAATTCAATAATATAAATGATTTCATTTGATCTATCAAAAAAGGCCAAGATCACGTTTGTTGGTCTGGATACTTCTGAGGCTGTATACGGGCCTATTCCAAATTCGGGGTCGTACCATGGATGGACCTCTGTGTCAAAACTACAAACATTGCGAAGACAGTAATAAAACGATCGAGCAACTCCAGCATGTCGCTTAAGATACTGTGTTTGTGCCAAAGCAGGGCATCCACTGACAATGTGTTGGACAGTCTCATTAAATTCATTACATAATCTACATTTCATGTTTACATTTCGATGCAAAATCACTCATTGACGGTTTCGAGTGGGAAGTGACTGGCCCTGAGCAGCAAACAGAAAGTTTTCTGTTTCACTCTTCAGGCCAGCGGACCTCACCCAAGCGAAGGACTCTGCAGGGTTGCGTACCTTCTCAACACACTACACTTAAACGCGATGCAGTGGTCGATCAGATAGCTTCTCCTTAAGACTGGGCGGGGAACACCAGAAATGGGCTTCACACATTGTACCCATGTCGGGAATCGAACTCGGGTCTTTGGCGTGACTAGCGAACGCTTTAACCACTAGTCTACCCGACCGCCCCTCCATGTTGTGAACTAACGGCACCGAATTAACATGTTTGAAGCGAGAGTGGCATTTGTTGTTATTGTCAAGTGGACAGACTAAACAGAGATTGCAGCTTTCCCTAAAAAGGTACATGTACACTGTACATAATCTGTCACAATTGTTATTAATCATTGCCGGTGTCACGAAATATATTCGCCCCCAGAATAAAATCTCCCCCCGGCGAATTTATACCGGTACAGTTCCGCCCCTCTCGAAATAAACTCGTAATACATTCGTAATATATTTCTATTTTAGCAATGTTACATATGGTATTTTTAAACTCTAAACAGTAATTCTATAATTAAATATAAAAACAACAAAACAGTTCCTCAATTTATGTATGATGTTGTCGTTTGTTTTATAAACACCGCATTGTGAGAAACGTTTCACTCAGTCAGGGAAGTCACCCAGCCTTACCGCCCGGTCTATTCAGTGACATGGCTGGGGACCTATTTTCACCCGGAATTAGAACAGGGTTATATGTTGTTTGGTATCTGGTTTGCCTGCAGTTTCATCGCCAAACATTGAATGGTTGGAAATTATGAGTTATGCTTCACAATATGAAACTCTCTGAACCTCCAACTTGTCTTTTCCTCAGAAATACATAATCTACACTTTTTTACCAAAACCGAATGGCAAAAGGCACCAGTTCAACACTCGCCTGGTCTGTTTACAAACTTTTACAAAGAAATGAGAACCCTCATAATCACACATTGTTGCATTGTAAACGCGAAAAAATAAAAATGTAAATAGCAAACGGCACCAGCTCAAGTGTGAGTGAGTGAGTTAAAATTTAACGTCACATCGGCATTATTTCAGCCATATCGTGACGAGAAAAAGTACTACATTCAAATTAGATATACTTAGGTTATAAAAACCTGTCGTCGAAGGACAGTAAAATAATTAGATTGATCACAGATAGATGTAAAACTAGCAGATAAGCATAAAAATATAACACCATACGCAACAATACAAGATAAAAATTAGCTAAAGATCGCCAACCACTGAAGGTAGATCACCATACTAGGGTCCATTGGGACTTACAGTGCCTTTGCTACCTGCATGGACCCCAGCAGGATTTACACCATCCCTTCAGTCATTGGCGATTGTACGTAAGTTTTAGCTACAATTAAAATGACGAACATTCTACGTTTAAAAACGTAGTAGAAGTAAATATTCTTTGAATGACAGGGACTATGATACCCTCTCAGGGGGACAATAATTTTACAGTACTTTAACCCCCTTCGAGGATACTGCCACTAACAATCTTCGATATAATTTAATCCTACCAATTCTAAAAAAGTTTTTTATTTATACAAAACATATCAACAAAACTTATGGTACAATTCTATTTCTTTTAAAAAGGCAATAATTAAATGAGAACTAATCGTAGTAAAAAGATCCCTTATAGATGAAACCTTGAAATATCACCAGCTCAAGACATGCCCCATGTGTATATAATGTGTTATATATATTGAACGGTTTATTAGTCATACTACGAGAGTGACGGACGTGCGGAGCCTGATCAAATTGTTTAGACCCTGACCATGTTCCGATTTTAATACAATTTAAACATGTTTGATAGTGTAGCAAGTGGAAACTGTTCATGCATTTCCACCATAACGTTATATGAAAGGTACATGTCGACGTCAACACACCAGGATTGGCACAGTCATGGAACTGTTTAGCAAAATAACTCGCCTTTTACCACTGGGACAACCCGATCCCCAACAACATAGTTATCAAGCGTCAGTTCAGATTTCACACACAAATCGCGCTGAGAGTTATTCAACTTCATAAAAGGAGCCTTAAAGTCACAGATTTGCCCTGGTGACCTGCATCTCTTTGGGCTTTCCTCCCACACCAAGCAGACAATTCGGTCATGATACAGCAGAAAAAGTGTTAAAAACAGTGTTCAGTCACTCACTCACTATGTAGGCGTAGGGTGGCCACGTGGTTAGCCTGCTAGCATGACACAGAGGTAATGCGCTCGATTCTCTTTACTTGAGTTTCACTAACGGTCAAATAATTCTAAGACAACTTATTATTTAATCAGGTAAAGTTGTTGTCCTGTTCACTGATTATGATGGCGGTATCTACAAATACAGCTTGAGCGGTGACGCCGCAACGCCAATGAAGCCATCCTTTGTAGAAACCTCGATGAAGCCCTTATGCTTAGACTACGACCCTGTCTACAGACAAATGTACTGGGATAGACGATCTACGAAGACGAGTATGAGGGCAGATCTGGACGGTCGCAACATGAAGACTGGGCATTGTCCGTCAGGGCGTGAACCAGGCTGGACCGGCGACAGATATAACAAGGATATGTTTCAGATACTCCCATCGACTGAAAGTGTCAGTTCAGATTTCACACAAAAGCTCCACTGAGACCTGCATCTCTTCGGGCTTTCCTCCCACACCAAGCAGACAATTCGGTCATGATATAACTGAAAAAGTGTTCAAAACAGTGTTCAATCACTCACTCACTATGTGGGCAAAGGGTGGCCACGCGGTTAGCATGCTAGCATGAGACAGAGGTAATGCGCTCGATTCTCTTTACTTTGAAACTGCTCTTGAGTTTCACTAACTGTCGTACAATTCTGCCTGTTACAAGACTATTTATCATTTAATCAGGTAAAGTTGTTGTCCTGGTCACTGATTATGATGGCGGTATCTACAAATACAGCTTGAGCGGTGACGTCGCAACGCCAATGAAGCCATCCTTTGTAGAAACCTCTACGAAGCCCTTATGCTTAGACTACGACCCTGTCTACAGACAAATTTACTGGGATAGACGATCTACGAAGACGATTATGAAGGCAGATCTGGACGGTCGGAACATGCAGACTGTTTTCAAATCGAATTCATGTGAGTTTATGATTTAGAATAATATAGCATATCAATGTAGGATTTGTTCTTGTTGAGGCCGTTTTCTGCCTTGTTGAACAAGGTTGGAACTATCCGATATTTCATAAAAGTTGGAAGTAGCAAAAAAAAATATTGCAGAGGCACGTGCAGGATACAGATAATCTCAGTGCCAGTGGCATCAAATTCGACACGTGGTCATTAGAATAGCAAATGCTGCATATTAAAATTATTATTTACAGATTAATTATTCTTCTTATTCTTATTCTTCTTATTATTATTATTTTGATACAATCAAAGCAAATCAAAAGATTACATCCAAGCTTTCACCCAACATCATTCTGAATCACGCGCGCACATTCTAAACAAATTTTATCAACAGCTGTCCGAGACATCGCTATCGACTGGGAAACTAGACAGTTGTTTTTCGCTGATGATAAGGCCCATGCAATCTTTTGCCTGAATATGACGAGCAATGCTGTTTCAAGATTCATCAGCGCCACTAATGATGAAGTTCATTCCCTTGTGTTGGATACTTCACGAAGGTCAGACGGCTTATTGCATTTCACAGTCTACTTGGGTAGGATTGCGGAACTGAATATGTCTTACATACAAGTCTTGCCGTGTGATACGCCATAAAAATAATACTCCTGCGTCATGCATGTATGAACAATTGCCTTGCCTTTGCATGTGTTTGTGATGGGTAACACCGGTCAGGCAGGATACGTTGACCTTTTCGCGAACACTTGGACTGTAAATAATCAAGTCTTGCCTATTTTGCGAGGGGATCTCCATTTTAGCTCAAGCATGGAGTGCTGGGACGTATACTGCCTCGGAATCTCTACTGGGAGACAAGTAGGCTTTGCTAGGGACCTATTTAACGACGGGACCTCCATTGAGCTCAAGCATGGAGCTATATTGGGTGGCTTGAATCATTCTCTTGGATTGCATTTTCTAATTGAACTCTCTTGTTCGATTCCGACTATATTTTAGCTTGAACATTAAAGGCTTTAGAACACAGGCTTCAATTTAACAAATATTAATGAAAGAAATATGTTTAGACTCATGTATTGGACCGATGTGGGACATGCACAAATTGAGCAAGCGACATATGAGGGAACCAACAGAAAGGTGCTTACACATACCGGATCGGAGTGGCCAACGGGACTTGTCATAGACCCACAAGGTATGTTGTGATATTGTATATTTACCTTAATTCCGTGTTCACCCAATACAATGATATGTTATTACCTTTGTTTGAATGTCCTATTTTAAATTTCACAAAATCGATCCTTTTCTAAAATAAACGTAGGAGGATGAGAGATGTATTGTCATCAACGATGTATGTTTGAATGTATTTTATCAAACAGTTCTTCTATACCTGATGCAGGGATGACACTCGTAAAGTACATGCTTATTGAATAGAGAGTGGAAGAAATGAATGACCATTTCGGCATACTCGAAGTGTTTAACCTTTTTCTTAAAAGTAAAGCTAATTTTGAGACATGCTTATTATAAAACATTTTCCTGGCTGTTTTTTCGATATTCAATGGAATAGAAACTTACAAGGAGAGGCACCACAATGTACCATTACCAGCAATGTTAATGGATACTGCTAATTTGATACCGGTGATCGATAGCTCGTCAGAGGTTTCATTAACAGTGGGATGAAAGACGACCTTAGTTGAATATATCCTCCGCTCTAATGAAGATTCCGGGTTGTAAACGGCAGGATTGTCGAAATGGTCAAGTTGTACCTTAATATCTCTTCCATAATACATGTTCTCTGGTTAACTCAAATATATTTCCTGCAGGTGATTACCTATTCTGGTGTGATGCACATTCTTCCAACAAGGATATAAAGAAAATGAACCTAAAAACGAAGACTATTTCAGTCCTACTAACGGGAAAGACATACTATGATGCAACTTATTTTGAGGGAAAACTTTTCATCGTTGCTCGAAGTGACAGGTATAAACGAGTGAGTGAGTGAGTGGGTTAGGTTTTACTTCGCTTCGAACAGTATTTCAGTTACATCATTGCGTGGCAGCGTAATGTGTTCCAACCAGCGTGATAAAATGCTGTTGACAAGTAATTACATATATAACGAACTATAATCAGAGCGAATCTAGGATTCCAACCACAATCATAGGTTTCTGGCACGCCTAATGAACGCAGCTATGAACATCATAATGAGTCGACTAGGCTAGAAATCAATTTCTGCGTCAACCATTTCAAAAACGACTGAGATCATTGATTCGTCACGATGTTCATATTGATGAATGAGTAACTGTATCCTTACAGATCACACTTCTTCACATTGTCCGAAAATGGTGGCCAAGAAACATCTGTCAGTCTTCAACGGAGCATGTCAGAGTGGAGAAGAATAAAAGTGATACGATATTACGGTAAATGTCCTCAGACTCTATTTTTTCACCCATTGTGATACACAACTATATACAATGATTATGGTACAGCAATGGTCAGATGGCATCTTGCATTTAGGAATCTGGCCAACCTGCCCAGTTTCTGTCCGAGGATCAAGTTCCAGCTCACATAAATGAATATAAGCGACAAAACCCTTTACATTTTCATAAAAAACGCAAGATGGCTTGAATCCGACTCCCTCATGAGTATGTACGTGTCTTGTCAGGCTGCACTTATTAATGATCTAATTATTATCAATATTACTGTGCGTATATAAGTTTAAGGACTGACTGAAGTCACACGACAACATGGCGAACCAGAACCCTCCTAAGTTTTGATCACTTCCGCAAGGTCTAAGGCATGACTTAACTATCGGCAGTCTAACACTTTAACCCTTTAGATGTCAATCATTGGAATATCTGGTCTAATGTAATAAGTGACCTTGTTTTCATCTTAACAAAGCACACATGTCGATACCTGGCCCATTATGCAGCACCGAACATCTGCTGTGTGTACCGATAAGAATAATTTAAGCCACGTGCTTAACACACACTTGCCAATAGTAAACATTTATTATCGGAAACATACGTGATATATACTGGTACCCCGGAAGTCGTACGAAGCCAAATGTGTTTAATTTGTCGGGTAAAACAAGAGTAGGAAATAGAAATTTTATATTTTGTATGTGTATTGTCTTAATATTAGGAGAATGTGCTGGAGGACACTATGGAATCACCTGTAATTCTACCTGCGGAATGTGTTCTGGGACGGATACCTGTGACACAGCAATTGGACATTGTCCCTCAGGATGCCAGGCCGGGTGGACAGGAGACAGGTGTGACACAGGTAGGTGTTCTAGTGTCTGCAAACAAAGTGAGCAGACATACCATATGATACTATTTCTTCAAGAGTGTGAGACAGGTAAATATGGCATCTATTTCTCCTCAACGTGCGCTAGATGTGAAATTGGGACCATGTGCAGCAACCTGTATTTCAACCAAGTAAGTTCCGTGCAAACCAATCACATTTTGTGTTGTTCTTTTGTCCACATGCCATACTTTTACGTTTTAATACAGAATGTGAGGACGGTCAATATGGCGTAAACTGCACCCAATCATGCGCCCAGTGTGAAGACGAAAGTGTATGCGATAAGTCCAGTGGACAATGTCCATCTGGGTGTCGACCAGGGTGGAGAGGCGAAAGGTGTGACACGGGTAAGTCAGCAATACAGAGGTGAATCGGTATTACACGGGTGAATTACCAATACACAGGCGAGTCTGCAATGTTTGTTTGTTTGTTGTTTAACACCGCTGGACCAGACAATTCCCAGATTGATCATCGATCGATGCGCTTAGAAAAGGAGATAAAACCAAAGTATGTACCGTGCAAACCAACCACGTTTTGTGTTGTTCATTTTTCTGCATGTCATACTTTTACGTTTTAATACATAATGTGAGGACGGTCAATATGGCGTAAACTGCACCCAATCATGCGCCCAGTGTGAAGACGAAAGTGTATGCGATAAGTCCAGTGGACAATGTCCATCTGGGTGTCGACCAGGGTGGAGAGGCGAAATGTGTGACACGGGTAAGTCAGCAATACAGAGGTGAATCGGTATTACACGGGTGAATTACCAATACACAGGCGAGTCTGCAATGTTTGTTTGTTTGTTGTTTAACACCGCTGGACCAGACAATTCCCAGATTGATCATCGATCGATGCGCTTAGAAAAGGAGATAAAACCAAAGTATGTACCGTGCAAACCAACCACGTTTTGTGTTGTTCATTTTTCTGCATGTCATACTTTTACGTTTTAATACATAATGTGAGGACGGTCAATATGGCGTAAACTGCACCCAATCATGCGCCCAGTGTAAAGACGAAAATGTATGCGATAAGTCCAGTGGACAGTGTCCGTCTGGGTGTCGACCAGGGTGGAGAGGCGAAAGGTGTGACACGGGTAAGTCAGCAATACAGAGGTGAATCTGTATTACACGGGTGAATTACCAATACACAGGCGAGTCTGCAATGTTTGTTTGTTTGTTGTTTAAAGCCGCACTCAGAACTATTCCACTAATATCCAGCAAATAAATCGAGCCTGGACCAGAAAATCCCGTGATTTATCATCGATCGATGCGATTACATGCATCAATCAAGTCAGCGAGTCTGACCACCTGATAACGTTAGTCGCCTCTTACGACAAGCATATAGAATGAGTGGGGTTTAACGTCACATCCAAAGATAAATGTGGTCACATAGCGACGTGCATGCTCGTGTGGTAATGTAACGCCATGAACATTCACTTTGTTGATGGAATTTGACGTACTATAGATTATTACATTCTTTCAGTCTCTGGTTTGTCTGATCCGATTCTATACATGCTGCCAAGATTTAGCTGTGGTACCAGGAAATATATTCTCAAACGCCGATCAAATACCGTCACCTTGTGTTGTATTTATGTGTATCATGGTATTCAAACCATTTGGTTTTAGAACACCTAACAATTGTGTGTGTCGAATGTCTCTTTAAATTCTGCCTTTTTTGTTTTCAGAGTGTGAGGCTGGGTATTATGGCTTCAACTGTACATCGACATGTGGCAACTGTTACGGTGAAACTGTTTGTGACCATGCCACCGGAAAATGCCCCTCTGGTTGTCAACCTGGATGGATTAGCGACAGATGTAACATAGGTTGGCGAACTCTACGTTGTGTGTAGCTGAATGTGGGTAGATGTGGTGGCCACTGATTTGTATTGTACATTCAGTATCTGAAACAGGTATTATAGAATATAACGTGATTTCAATCACTGGTTTGCCTGATCCAATTCTATACATGCTGCCGTGATTTAGCTGTGGCACCTGGGAACACCCATCAAATACTGCCATCTTGTGTTGTATTTATGTGTATCGTGGTATTCAAGCCATTTGGTTTTGAACACAACTAACAATTGTGTGTGTCCAATGTCTCTTTAAATTCTGTCTTGTATGTTTTCAGAGTGTGAGGACGGGTATTATGGCTTCAACTGTACATCGACATGTGGCAACTGTTACGGTGAAACTGTTTGTGACCATGCCAGTGGAAAATGCCCCTCTGGTTGTCAACCTGGATGGATTGGAGACAGATGTACCATAGGTTGGTGAACTCTATGTTGTGTGCAGCTGATCATTGGGAGATGTGGTGGCCACTGATTTGTATTGTACATTCAGTGACTGAAACAGGTATTATAGAATATAACGTGCTTTCAATCACATGTTGGCCTGATCCGATTCTATACATGCCGCCGGGATATAGCTAAAACTGTGTTGTTTACAGCAGACAACATTCATGCACTGACTCACTGTTTGTCATAATTTATCTTCTCTTGAAGAATGTGAAGGAGATCCTCGTGGATTTAACTGCACATCAAGGTGCGGGAAGTGTGAAGATTGGGAAGTCTGTGACAAGGCAAGTGGACAGTGTTCCATTGGCTGTGAACCCGGTTGGAGTGGGGAAGGATGTGCCACAGGTGAGCTTTCAACATACCTGTTTTGAAGAGTACCCAATACAGTAAAGTACGGTTATAACGAACTCAAAGGGACTACTAATTTTAGTTCGTTATAGCCGTAGTTCGTTAAAAACATATATACAGCATAACTACAGCAAATAGTCGGGACTAAAAAGTAAGTTCGTTATATCCGTAAGTTCGTTATAAGCGTGTTCGTTATAACCGTAGTTTACTGTATATGTATTCTTAAAAAAGCTGGATTCTAGTTATCCAGTTACAACCGAATCGTTAAATGAAGACATTGTTCCAACGAACCGTACTTCCATGTACATTGATCTATGTGTGTGCTACGCACCAGGAAGTATATCCTAAAACACCGTTCAAATACAGCCACCTTGAATTTATGTGTATGGGATTCAAGTATAATGGGAATCGTCACGCCTAACAATTGTGTGTGTCCAAGGTCTCCTTGAATTCTGTCTTGTATGTTTTCAGAGTGTGAGGCTGGGTATTATGGCTTCAACTGTACATCGACATGTGGCAACTGTTCCGGTGAAACTGTTTGTGACCATGCCAGTGGAAAATGCCCCTCTGGTTGTCAACCTGGATGGATTGGAGACAGATGTAACATAGGTTGGTGAACTCTTTGTTGTGTGCAGCTGATCATGGGTAGATGTGGTGGCCACTGATTTGTATTGTACATTCAGTAACTGAAACAGGTATTATAGAATATAACGTAACACGTCCCATTTTAATTCTGGAAACCCAAAAGTCCAGAAACTCTACGCTCTTTGCCCAGTCTCGGTTAAAGGTATAAGACGTGATTTAGAATAGATGGAGTCGTGCAATCCTTGACTTGGTTGACGTTGCTCGTAAATAGCTACTAGGTATGGTGTAGGTTAACAAAACGGGTTGTTCTTGTGTGTATTACATGTACATGTTTGAGGGTCATTCAATTCATTACCACAAATCTTTGTACGCTTTACAGTTCATATTAAGTGGTATATTTCGGGATTTTTTGCATTTACTGCGTGCGTATTTTGGGGCTCGTTGTTTAAACTGTCAATATAAATTGTCAGTGCAAGAGATTAACTATACTAGATTATAAACTGGCGGGTTTGACAGGAAACATACAACATTAACAAAGTTACGTTCAATCTTCAATTGGAGGTGTTTGTTTAACCTTTTTTATGATTTGGATGTAATAATAAAGATCATATTCTTTTGTTCAAGGTACATGCACACCTGCGTACCAAACCTAAGCTAGCATACATCCTGATTTATTTACCTTCCAAAATATTGTGATGGGTATTTGTTCGACTGTAGCTCAACTTGTGCTACCTGTAAGGACGGAAATGTATCTTACAAGGAGAGTGGACATTGTCCATCAGGGTGTGAGCCAGGTTGTCTGTTAACACGTCTGGGAAAAGAGTTTCTTCAGTTAATTATTTGGATGGATTAAATTGTGTTTTTTTTCAAACTAAGCAAACCTTTACTTTCCAGAATGTAGCGATGGGTATTTTGGTTTCAACTGTAGTTTTACTTGTGCTAACTGTAAAATCAAAACTGTCTGTAACAAGAAGAACGGGCATTGTCCATCAGGGTGTGAACCAGGCTGGTCCGGCGACAGATGTAACAAGGGTAAGTTTCAGATGCCTCCAGGGACTGAAAGTGTCAGTTCAGATTTCACATAAAAACTGCGCTGAGACCTGTATCTCTTCAGGCTTTCCTCCCACACCAAGCAGACAACTCAGTCATGATATAACTGAATAGGTGTTCAAAACAGTGTTCAATCACTCTCTCACTTTGTTGGCAAAGGGTGGCCACGTGGTTAGCATGCTAGCATGAGACAGAGGTAATGAGCTCGATTCTCTTTACTTTGAAACTGCTGTTGAGTACTGTCGTACAATTCTGCCTGTTACAAGACTATTTATCATTTAATCAGGTAAAGTTGTTGTCCTGGTCACTGATTTTGATGGCGGTATCTACAAATACAGCTTGAGCGGTGACGTCGCAACGCCAATGAAGCCATCCTTTGTAGAAACCTCTATGAAGCCCTTATGCTTAGACTACGACCCTGTCTACAGACAAATGTACTGGGAGAGACGATCTGCGAAGACGATTATGAAGGCAGATCTCGACGGTCACTACAAACAGACTGTTTACAAAATGAAATCATGTGAGTTTATGATTAAAAATAATATAGCATATCAATGAAAAATCTGTTCTGGTTGAGGCTGTTTTCAGGCTTGTTGAACATGTTTGGAACCATCCGAAAATTCATAAAAGTTGAAAAAAACACATAATCATATTGCAGAGGCACGTGCAGGATACATATGTTCTAAGTGCCAGTGGCATCAATTCGTCACGAGGCCATTAAAGTACAGATGCTGCATATAATTATTTTTATTTTGATACAATCAAAGCAAAACAAAATATTTCATCCAATTTTTCACCATCACTCCGTATCACACGCGCAAATTCTAAACAAATTTTATCAACAGCTCTTCGAGACATGGATATCGACTGGGAAACTAGACAGTTGTTTTTAGTTGATGATAAGGCCCTTGCCATCTTTTGCCTGAATATGACGAGCAATGCCGTTTCAAGAATCATCAGCGCCACAAATAATGAAGTTCATTCCCTTGTTTTGGATACTTCACGAAGGTCAGAAAGCTAATTGCATTTCACAGTCTACTTGGGTAGGATTGCGGAACAGAATATGTCCTACATACACGTCTTGCCGTATGATACCCCGAAAAATAATACTCCTGCGTCATGCATGGATGAACAATTGACTTGCCTTTGCGTGTGTTTGTGATGGGTAGAGAGTTTTGTCGCTTGTATGTATAAAAGGCTTATTGAAATGAATTGCTTAACGTCAAATATGTACGAACTCTGAATTGTTGTAACTGATATCAATTTACTACCCTTCGACTTATTATTGTAAATTGGCTACTGGATACTTGCATTTCATGGCCAGATAACTTTCTTTGGGCTTCGTTTTGGATACGAGTTACAAGACGAGCTGAGAGGGGTGCGTGAATGTTGCTTTACGTCGCAGTTTGCCATATAACAAGTATCACTGCGGACAGCTTAGGAAACGATCCACATGTTGTCAGGGTATGAAGACACACGATCAGAAAGGTCACATATTGAAGCCATCCTATCCTAATCAGTCGACTAAGCCGTCAAGCATGGAGTGCTAGGACCTATACTGCCTCGGAATCTCCACTGGGAGACAAGCAGATTTTACTAGGGACCTATTTTAGGGATCTCCATGGAGCTATATTGGGTGGTTTGAATGATTCTCTCATGATTGCATGTTCTAATTGAACTCTCTTGTTCGATTCCAACTATATTTTAGCTTGAACATTAAAGGCTATAGAACACAGGCTTGAATGTAACAAATATGAATAAAGAAATATTTTCAGACTCATATATTGGAGCGATGTGGGACGTGCACAGATTGAGCAAGCGACGTATGAGGGAACCAACAGAAAGGTGCTTACACATACCGGATCGGATTGGCCAACGGGACTTGTCATAGACCCACAAGGTATGTTGTGATATTGTATATTTACCTCAATTCTGTGTTCACCCAATACAATGATATGTTGTTACCTTTGTTTGAATGTCCAACTTTAATTTTCATAAACTCGATCCTTTTCTCAAATAAACGTAGGAGGATGAGAGATGTATTGTCATCAACGATGTTTGTTTAAATGTATTTTCTTCTTCTATATTTGACGCTGGGATTACACTCGTAAAGTACATGCTTATTGAAAAGAGAGTGAAAGAAATGAATGACAATTTCGGCATACAGAGATAAGTGTTCAATTTTTTTGTAAAAAGCAAAGATAATTTTGAGACATGCTTATTATATAACATTGTCCTTTCTGTTTATTCTATATTCAATGGAATAGACACTTACAGGGAGAGACACCACGTTGTCATATTCCCTCAAATGTTAATGGATAGCTCGTCCGAGGTTACATTAGGAGTTGTGGGATGAAAGACGACCTTGGTGAAATATACCCTCCGGTAATATGAAGATTGTGGGTTTATTAACGGCAGGATTGTCGAAATGGTCACGTTGTGACTTAATACATGTTCTCTAATTAACTCAAATATATTTCCTGCAGGTGATTACCTATTTTGGTGTGATGCAAGTATTTCCAACAAGAATATAAAGAAAATGAACATCAAAACGAAGAAGATATCAGTCCTAATAACGGGAAAGACATACTATGATGCAACTTATTTTGAGGGAAAACTTTACATCATTGCTCGAAGTGACAGGTATAAACGAGTGAGTGAGTGAGTGAGTGAGTCTGTTAGGTTTTACTTCGCTTCGAACAGTATTTCAGTTACATCAATGCGTGGCAGCATAATGTGTTCCAACCAGCGTGATAACATGCTGTTGACAATTCACGAACTATAATCAGAGCGAATCTAGGATTCATAGGTTTCTGGCACGCCTAATGAACGCAGCTATGCACATCATAATGAGGTGACTAGGCTAGAAATCAATTTCTGCATCAACCACTTTAAATACGACTGAGATCATTGGTTCGTATTGATGTATGAGTAACTGTATCCTTACAGTTCACACTTCTTCACATTGTCCGAAAATGGTGGCCAAGAAACAGCGCACAGTCTTCAACGGAACATGTCAGAGTGGAGAAGAATAAAAGTGATACGATATTATGGTAAATGTCCTCAGACTCTATTTTTTCTCCCGAGGTGATACACAACTATACAATGATTATGGTACGGCAATAGTCAGATGGCATCTTGCATTCAGGAATCTGGCCAACCTGCCCAGTTTCTGTCCGAGGATCAAGTTCCAGCTCACATAATGAATATAAGCGACAAAACCCTTTACATTTTCATAAAAAACGCAAGATGGCTTGAATCCGACTCCCTCATGAGTATGTACGTGTCTTGTCAGGCTGCACTTATTAATGATCTAATTATTATCAATATTACTGTGCGTATATAAGTTTAAGGACTGACTGAAGTCACACGACAACATGGCGAACCAGAACCCTCCTAAGTTTTGATCACTTCCGCAAGGTCTAAGGCATGACTTAACTATCGGCAGTCTAACACTTTAACCCTTTAGATGTCAATCATTGGAATATCTGGTCTAATGTAATAAGTGACCTTGATTTCATGTGAACAAAGGACACATGTCGATACCTGGCCCATTATGCAGCACCGAACATCTGCTGTATGCACCGATAAGAATAATTTAAGCCACGTGCTTAACACACACTGGCTCTCTTGCCAATAGTAAACATTTATTATCGGAAACATACGTGATATATACTGGTACCCCGGAAGTCGTACGAAGCCAAATGTGTTTGTCGGATCAAACAAGAGTAGGAAATAGACATTTTATATTTTGTATGTGTATTGTCTTAATATTAGGAGAATGTGCTGGAGGACACTATGGAATCACCTGTAATTCTACCTGCGGAATGTGTTCTGGGACGGATACCTGTGACACAGCAATTGGACATTGTCCCTCAGGATGCCAGGCCGGGTGGACAGGAGACAGGTGTGACACAGGTAGGTGTTCTAGTGTCTGCAAACAAAGTGAGCAGACATACCATATGATACTATTTCTTCAAGAGTGTGAGACAGGTAAATATGGCATCTATTTCTCCTCAACGTGCGCTAGATGTGAAATTGGGACCATGTGCAGCAAGCTGAATGGACTTTGCACTTCACAGTGTCAATCATGTTCACTTGGCCATATGTGTGACACAGGATAGTAAGCAGTTACATATCTGTGTATTGATGTGCACCCGCAGTCGTTATTTGTATTTTGGTAGAATTGTGTAGATCAAGAAATGTACAGGTCATTACGAGAGTATTTGATATTTTAAATACAAATACAGTTCTGCAGTTGACACAAATGTGTTGTCAACTGAAGAGGCTTATTGTAATCGTCAATGTCAAGATTTGTAATCAATTCTCTATCACATGATGCATCTTGAAATCAATGGAACAGACTTTTTTCATTTCATCATCGACGCTTTTAATCGTAAAAAGAATCTTGTAAATTGTGAAAGATATCTAATAATTACACGTTATATTTTTCATCCCTGAAACTAGATTAACAATATTAGTCCTCATCCTTTTGGACTTCAAGCCATCAGGAAACCATCAGGGAGAAAAGGAGATAAAACCAAAGTATGTACCGTGCAAACCAACCATATTTTGTGTTGTTCATTTGTCTACATGCCATACTTTTACGTTTTAATACAGAATGTGAGGACGGTCAATATGGCGTAAACTGCATCCAATCATGCGCCCAGTGTGAAGACGAAAGTGTATGCGACAAGTTCAGTGGACAATGTCCGTCTGGGTGTCGACCAGGGTGGAGAGGCGAAAGGTGTGACACGGGTAAGTCAGCAATACAGAGGTGAATCGGTATTACACGGGTGAATTACCAATACACAGGCGAGTCTGCAATGTTTGTTTGTTTGTTGTTTAAAGCCGCACTCAGAACTATTCCACTAATATCCAGCATATATATCGAGTCTGGACCAGAAAATCGCCTGAGTATTCGTCGATCGATGCGCTTACATGCATCAACCAAGTCAGCGAGACTGACCATATGATCCCGTTAGTCGCCTCTTACGACAAGCATATAGCAATAGTGGAGTTTAACGTCACATCCAAGATTAATGTAGTCATATAGAGACTAACATACATGTGTGATAATGTAACACCATGAACATTCACTTTGTTAATTAAATTTTACGTACAATAGATTAATACATTCCTTCAGTCTCTGGTTTGTCTGATCCAATTCTATACATGCTGCCGTGAATTAGCTGTGGCACCTGGGAACACCCATCAAATACTGCCATCTTGTGTTGTATTTATGTGTATCATGGTATTCAAGCCATTTGGTTTTGAACACACCTAACAATTGTGTGTGTCCAATGTCTCTTTAAATTCTGTCTTGTATGTTTTCAGAGTGTGAAGATGGGTATTATGGCTTCAACTGTACATCGACATGTGGCAACTGTTACAGTGAAACTGTTTGTGACCATGCCAGTGGAAAATGCCCCTCTGGTTGTCAACCTGGATGGATTGGAGACAGATGTACCATAGGTTGGTGAACTCTATGTTGTGTGCAGCTGATCATGGGTATATGTGGTGGCCACTGATTTGTATTGTACATTCAGTGACTGAAACAGGTATTATAGAATATAACGTGCTTTCAATCACATGTTGGCCTGATCCGATTCTATACATGCCGCCGGGATATAGCTAAAACTGTGTTGTTTACAGCAGACAACATTCATGCACTGACTCACTGTTTGTCATAATTTATCTTCTCTTGAAGAATGTGAAGGAGATCCTCGTGGATTTAACTGCACATCAAGGTGCGGGAAGTGTGAAGATTGGGAAGTCTGTGACAAGGCAAGTGGACAGTGTTCCATTGGCTGTGAACCCGGTTGGAGTGGGGAAGGATGTGCCACAGGTGAGCTTTCAACATACCTGTTTTGAAGAGTACCCAATACAATAAAGTACGGTTATAACGAACTCAAAGGGACTACTTATTTTAGTTCGTTATAACCGTAGTTCGTTATAAACATATATACAGCATAACTACAGCAAATAGTCGGGACTAAAAAGTAAGTTCGTTATATCCGTTAGTTCGTTATAAGCGTGTTCGTTATAACCGTAGTTTACTGTATATGTATTCTTAAAAAAAGCTGGATTCTAGTTATCCAGTTACAACTGAATCGTCAAATGAAGACATTGTTCCAACGAACCGTACTTCCATGTACATTGATCTATGTGTGTGCTACGCACCAGGAAGTATATCCTAAAACACCGTTCAAATACAGCCACCTTGAATTTATGTGTATAATGGGATTCAAATATAATGGGAATACAACACGCCTAACAATTGTGTGTGTCCAAGGTCTCCTTAAATTCGGTCTTGCATGTTTTCAGAGTGTGAGGCTGGGTATTATGGCTTCAACTGTACATCGACATGTGGCAACTGTTCCGGTGAAACTGTTTGTGACCATGCCAGAGGAAAGTGCCCCTCTGGTTGTCAACCTGGATGGATTGGCGACAGATGTAACATAGGTTGTTACTCTATGTTGTGTGTAGCTGAATATGGATAGATGAGGTGTCGACTGGTTTGAATTGTATATACATTATCTGCAATATGTAAAGAATACAGGTCATGGTCAATCCGGGCCAGAATTGGTCTGCAGTTACTTATATTTTTTGTAAGAGGTGATTTAGAATAGATTTATTTATATATTGATACTGGGTTGGAGTAAGTTAATAAACAACTGTTTGTTCTTGTGTGCATGACATGCTAAAGGGTAATTCAATTCATATCATGTACCACAAATCACGGCACTCATCACAGTTGACATTAAGTGATTTATTACACGAACATTTGCATTAACTGCGTGATGTTGTAGTCCATTGTGTGACATTGCTGCCTTCAAGCCCCGACGCCGCGGTTCGTTACCTTACCCCGACGACTGACACATTTGTTTTACTATTACTGATTCTGGTGTAAAACATATGTACTGAAAATCAAAAGTTCCTGTTTGCAACAGATAAGAGAATTATGTAAGTGTTCAAATGGTTTAATTTGCAAAACTGACTTCAGAAAAAGCGTGATTTCATAAAAAAAACATGAACATGCCAAAATGTCAACTTACAAATCAATAGCGCGTGTGTCCACCTCTGGTTGCGATGCAAGCAACACATCTTCACGTCTCGTGGAATGGACCAGGTGTCGCACAAAGTCCTGTGGGGTATATGTCCATATCTGCTGGAGTGTATGTGGAACACGTGGTTGACGTCGAAGGCGCCGATCCATCTCATCCCACATGTGCTCGATTGGTGAGAGATCAAGGGAGCGAGCCGGCCAGGGGATGACATTCACGTTTGTTTTGGTGAAGAAAATCCTGAGCAAGTCGAGCAATATGAGGCCGGGCGTTGTCATGTTGAAAGGTAATGCCTGGGCCATGACGACGCTGAAACGGTAGAACAACAGGGCCGATGATCTCGTCGCGGTAACGCTGTCCATTGAGATTTCCCCCTGCCACTATCAAACCGGTCCTCTGTCTTGCTGTAATCCCACCCCATACCATAACGCTGCCGCCCCCGAACCGATTGATTTCCATGACACAATGATTGACGTAACGTTCAATTCGTCGTCGGTGCACTCGAATCCGTCCATTGCTGTGGCTGAGGTGAAAACGAGACTCGTAGGTGAATAGAACTTGTCCCCACTGCATAGACACTGTCTGCACCACTGTAGACGTGCTTGACGGTGGTTTCCTGTCAAAATGGGACGTCTGGCGGGTCTTCTGGCGAAAATCCCTGCACATCTGAGGCGACGACGTACGGTTTGTGAAGATATTCGACGAAGGCCAGGGATGCTTCTTGCAGTCACTGTTTCTGGCTGGAATCGATTTCGTAGGTGTGTTGTTCGAATCCAGTTGTCTTGTCGATTATTGGTTACACGTGGCCTGCCACTCCGAGGATGGTCTCTGACTGCATTCGTCTGTTGCCAACGTTGCCATAAACACCAAATGGTGTTTCTGTGGACGTTGAATTGTCTTGCAACATCACGTTGACTCGATCCTGCTTCAAGCATACCAATGGCTCGCAGACGCTAATTTTCGGACAGGCGTGGCATTTCGTAATGTTGAATAATTGCGTAATTTTGTTGTTTTTCTGAGTGGTTGTTGTCAGCACGATGCTAAACAGTACATATGGAATCCCGTTAACGCACATGTTTTTATACCCATTCTTGGGTAGTGAAATGGGGCTTCCATAAAAGTCAACTTTTGCATGGAATGCATGCTTTTCTGTAGCAGCTGCGTTTTTGTGACTTGATTCCATACATGTACTACAATATTGAAAACCAAACTTTACTTGTTTGAAAAATACACTAAAATATTGGTGTCACAGGAACTTTTGTTGTTGAGTATATTATGTAAATTCACTTTCACAATAACAGTTTGATTGCGTTAAGAATTATTCTCCAAATTAAGCTTTCGAGATGCATGTATTTTTCTCATTCTACAGTATATTTCCGTGGACCGTTCGTTTAAATAAAACTCAACACATTTGCAGAGTGTCCAAATGGCAGCCATGGATTTCAATGTCAACACACCTGTATCCGATGCCTGAACAGAGAGCCATGCGACAAGGCTACAGGTGATTGCATTGGGGGATGTGAGGCTGGCTGGACAGGAAACAAGTGCAACAAAGGTATGTTCATCCTTCAGAGGGAAGTGTTTGTTTAACCAGGCAGGATATTTCCTAAATTACTTTCTTTGTAACATACATCCAAATTTCCTTACCTTCCAGAATGTAGCGATGGGTATTTTGGTTTCAACTGTAGCTCTACCTGTGCTTCGTGTAAGGACGGAGCTGTGTGTAACAAGGAGAGTGGGCATTGTCCATCAGGGTGTGAGCCAGGCTGGACTGGCGACAGATGTAACAATGGTAAGATCCAGATCTGACTGTCGAGCTTTGAGCTTTTGGAAAAAAACCAATTAGTCTTTGAGTCCGCTGGATACACTGCTTACGACCATCAAATCATACAATCATATCAGGTTTGTAGTTACCTTACTCAATTACAAACAAACTGACATTTCATTACGATGAACACAACTGGACATATTTGCAGAATGTCCTAATGGCAGCTATGGAGTTGGATGTCAACATTCATGTAGCCGATGCCTGAACAGAGAGCCATGCGACAAGGTTACAGGTCGTTGTATCCATGGATGTGAGTCTGGCTGGACAGGAAACAAGTGTAACAAAGGTATGTTCAAACCACATGGGAAAAGGGTTTCTTCATCCTTCAAGGGTTAACTATTTTGAAAAATGTTTTCAAACTTAGCAAACCTATGAAAGGATGTCTCTTGAGTCCTCTACCTTTACCTTCCAGAATGCAGCGATGGGTATTTTGGTTTCAACTGTAGCTCTACCTGTGCTTCATGTAAGGACGGAACTGTGTGTAACAAGGAGAGCGGGCATTGTCCATCAGGGTGTGAGCCAGGCTGGACTGGCGACAGATGTAACAAGGGTAAGTTTCAGATCCCTCCTAGGACAGGACACATGGTTTTGAGCTATCGAATTAAACAATTAAGCTGACAACATTGAGTCCCAGAAAATGAGTGAATTGATTTCCGCCGGATACACCCTGGCTGTACAAGACAATGAACTCGTAAATTCGCATCATGTTTGTGGTAACCAATCTCAATTATACAAAAACAGACCTCTCAGTAAGATAAGAACTGACCTTGTTTGCAGAATGTCCTAACGGCAGCTATGGAGTTGGATGTCAACATTCATGTAGCCGATGCCTGAATAGAGAGCCATGTGACAAGGTTACAGGTCGTTGTATCAACGGATGTGAATCTGGCTGGACAGGAAACATGTGTAACAAAGGTGGGTTCAAACCTCAGAAAGAAAAGGGTTTCTTCAACGTTGTCTAGTTAACTATTTGGATGGATTAAAAGAAAAGACTATTTTGTTTTCAAACTTAGCAAACCTATGAAAGGCTGTCTCTTGATTCTTCTGCCTTGACCTTCCAGAATGTAGCGGTGGATACTTTGGTTTTAGCTGTAGTTCTACCTGTGCTAACTGTAAGGGCGGAACTGTCTGTAACAAGGAGAGTGGGCATTGTCCATCAGGATGTGAGCCAGGCTGGATCGGCGACAGATGTAACAAGGGTAAGTTCCTGTCGAGCTTTGAGCTTTTGGAATAAATCAAAGCGACAAAACCCTTTCCACATTCAAAAGAAATCTCTGCTAAAAGTTGAGTAGATTGGAGGATTCTGACTCACTTTGACTATAAAATAGACGAGAACGTCTGAACATCAAATTTGTCTAAAAAACTAAAGATTCAGTCTCTTTGACTGAACAAAGAAATACAAAAAATCTCCAAAAGCTAGACAATCAAGGGAAGGTTGGTTATCCACAGATTACTAGAAAAAGTGAGTATTGGAATCCCTAGTTGCTAAGTTGCTAGACAATCATGAGAAGGTTGGTTATCCACGGATTACTAGAATAAATGAGCATCGGAAACCCTCGTAACTAAATTTAGCTCAATACAACCAGAGTAAGTCAGTTGAAGTTCAAAGGTGCCTCCTAACCACTTACTTACGAAAACTGAATTTCGACGTGACCACACCGAAGCAAACCGACCCTTAAAAACGGCCTAACGAGTCTTTGGGGGTAAACACACAAGATCCAACAGAAGTACATATATACTGCGTGCGGACCTTAGAGAGGTCAATCTCTCTGGACAGCTGGGGAATACAATAGTCTGAGGCACTTTGCCAATCTGTGTTTCTAAAAATGGGTAAAACACGAATAGCAAACTAACTACAATATTTATTTTGAAGATGTAAGTATCAAAATAAGCGCTGAACATAAGCTAGCCAACGGTATCATTAAAGACTGGAAACAAGCTATGTACAATTATTGAGGAGGCAAAAATTATCATAAATACGTGAGAAATATCTGAGTGCACATATAAATTCCCCAAATGTTTGAAAATCGTAGTTATAAAAACATTTTCAACACATGAATAAGGTGGAGAACATGTATCGGATAACATAGATCCAGTCAAACATGGTATGAGTGTGCCAGTAAATCACAAGAGAATGAAACAGTCGGGCCACTAAATCTCTGACTTAGAATGCAATGACACTGTACAACACCAACCACCTTACTTTGCCGAGTGGTGTTCAAATAAAGCCGGGGAGCAGAGCGGCCATTGGACCGTGACACAAGCAAAATAACCACCTTGTGACAAACAACTTCTGAGCAAGAGTCGTATGACGCTCTTTGAAATCTTGGAAGAAAGAGGTGGCTCGATTGTGTCTCAAAAGTTGTGAAATGTAAACACCAAAGGTTGCAGGTTCTAAAATATTGCGTTACATGAAGGACAGTTGACTATAGGAAAGTTATATGCATCCCTCTTGTCATACAATCTTGTGGAGAGTGTTTTGTCACTCTGAATCTTTGAACACAGATCTTAGAACACAGATCTTAATATGAAACAGATGAGACGGTATCACTGGTCTCCTTTACGTCTAGTTCAGGTGGGTAAATCAGTGGAAGGGAATTGGTTATTTTATGGTTATTGAACGATATAAGATCATCGATATACCTGAAGCTTAAATTAAACTTCTTGGCCAAATTCCCTTGTTTTGACTTTGCCAATCCGAGCAGAAATTCCGATTTATAAACAAACAGATCAGCAAGAAGGTTAGCACAATTGGTGCCAATGTGGATGCCTACTACTTGCCCCCAAATGTTTCATCGATGCTATCAGCAATTCCAGCATTTCGCATACTGTTTTGCAGTAAACCTCAGATGACATTTGCTTTCATTTGTGACACATTGTCCTGAACCTGAATAGAGATATGAAAAACAATAAGACTGACAGTCAGTGTGTTCCCTGTATACACACTGTCTGCATACGACCACCACCTCATAAAATCATGTTAATTCTACACAAACTGACATTTCATTCAGATAAAAAGTACTGGACATATTTGCAGAATGTCCTAACGGCAGCTATGGAGTTGGATGTCAACAAACCTGTAGCCGATGCCTGAATAGAGAGCCATGTGACAAGGTTACTGGTCGTTGTATCGACGGATGTGAGTCTGGCTGGACAGGAAACATGTGTAACAAAGGTATGTTTGAACAACAGAAGGTAAAGGGTTTCTTCAACGTTACTGGGTTAATTATTTGATGGATTGAAAAGGTTTTTTTCCAAACTTAGCAAACCTGTGAAAGCATGTCTCTAGATTCTTCTACCTTGACCTTCCAGAATGTAGCGATGGGTACTATGGTTTCAAGTGCAGTTCTACCTGTGCTAACTGTAAGGGTGGAACTCTCTGTAACAAGGAGAGCGGGCATTGTCCATCAGGGTGTGAACCAGGCTGGACCGGCGACAGATGTAATAAGGGTAAGTAGCAGACCTGGCAATCGTGTTTAGAACTTTTCAATGAGCAGTCTTGAGCAGGATTGAATTGGCAATCAATGGGTTTTCGATTGGACTGAGTTTTCACTCATCTCAATCTGTATCTGGCAGTGTGTGCTCAGCAATATTTTATTTATCAATTGCAAATAAAAGTGGCGTTTTTCTATAACTGATATACTATATTTCAAAAGACCCCATTTGTGGAATCAAATTTCAAGCATCATTTTCATGAGAAGGAGAAAACCAGAATTCTGTGGTGACTTGTAATAGAAAGCTACCTAATGAACATCACGAATCCTGCTTATACACTCTTCAAAGAGACGGGGCGGTCGGGTAGCCTAGCGGTTAAAGCGTTCGCTCATCACGCCGAAGACCCGGGTTCGATTCCCGACATGGGTACAATGTGTGAAGCCCATTTCTGGTGTCCCCCGCCATGATATTGCTGGAATATTGCTAAAAGCGGCGTAAAACCATACTCACTCACTCACTCACTCACTCTTCAAAGAGACACACAGGTAGATTTTTAGTAAATTTGTTGTACCTAAAAAAGTCGATATATTTTTTTTAGGTACGACTATGAAATTTTGGAGCTCGATAGTCACACGTTTTCGTTGTACAAAGGCATTGAAAACTGTTCATTGTCATGTCACATAAGGCCACAAGGTTGCGCTGAACTTAGTATCTCGTGTGACCGCCCCGGCCAGCAATCACGGCTCTGCATCTCCTCGGCACTGACTGGATAAGTGTACGAATTCTGTCCTGCGAAATTCTGCGCCATTCTACTTGTAACGCAATGACCAGTTGCGGGAGTGTTCTGACGTACACGTCGATCGAGTTCATCCCAAAGGTGTCCTGAGTCTCAGTATTTTCGAACTTGAAATATGTTGACAATTGATTGACAAATTATTGGCTTATGCTTGCCTTTTCTATAGCCACTACCACGCCTTACGAATGCCACAACTTGCACGTGTATTTGGCTTTACCATGACATTTTTGGACAAGTGTGAAAACAATGCTGTTGAAGACATTGCAAATCGACAATGGCTGCGTTTTGACGCACCGTTTGTCGAATATCAGGCCACCAACATTTTCCAATAATATATATCCAATTTATATACCGGATTATTTGTGTAGTCAGATTCAATGAAAAACATACTACCTGTGCGTTTCTTTTTTTGAAGAGTATATATCTACAAGATGTCCAAAAGTTAGCATGTAATATGCCTTGTTTTAAAACCCAAACTGGACTATAAATAGCGAGGTATTTTGCGAGAACTGACAGTTTAACGGGCGGTGAACGATCATCTTGAATAGCAAAAGTACAACTTTAACATCTAAACCGTGGCAGACAGTTTTGCCCTACTCCAATCAATGTAACAAAATTCAAATTATACTTTAAATCATTACACTACATCTGATGTTAAGGTGTTAAATATTCAGTCGTCTATGTTCAATGAACCCCAAATGCAAAAGTCGGCGGAATTTGCCTTCGGTCAGCTGACATCGTGCAGGATAGTGTCAAACTCAAACATAGCACAACGTCTTGATGTGTCTGCTTGCTTGCAATGGAACTACCAAAAAAATACCAAATGATATCACAAAGACGTTACGTTTCAACAATTAACACATACCCATATACAGTATACGATTGTATCATGCATATATATTATGTTCTTTGACACCAGATAATATTGTAAAGAATGTTTATGCGATGAACATGTTTGAATGGAAACTATTTTATATCGACCTTGTCACATCCGCACAAAACAATCTGCGAGCCGTTTTTTAAATAACATATGACAAGAGAATTCGAAAATTAAAAAAATCATTATTTGACTACTGAAACCCGATAATAGTTTGCATGTATTATTTTCACATTGGGCCAAAAATACAAACACGCCAGGTATAATCATTGTAAAAGTGACAATATATTAACTTGCCTATATATATAAAAGCCATAATATCAATTAAATGTAGTTTATTTATAGATAGATCTATCACCTGTATACATGTAATAATTTATCAAATTTGACATGTCAATGAATAGCTTACACAGATACATAATACATTCATTCTCGATTCTATTTCTATTTCAAATACTATAAAATTTTCCATTTTAAATATATAGACAGGGCTTGTGCATAGATATATTTTATGAAATGTCAATGTACACTTCAGGAGAGAAGTGCATGGTTCTAAACGCAATCGCGTATAATTTCCCGGGGCACACTATCAACAGTTTCGTCAAAACAGTCACGATTGAACAGTCCTGTCTTTCGGAAAGATACCAAGGATTCCTTCAGGCATTTCTTCTGTCCAGCATCAGCTAATAGTTCTTGTAAATAGTTTTTGCGATCTCCACTATTTCTAGCGTCAAAGGACGGGATGGAGGGAAGGTCGAATGATGTTACACACGGGCTGATAAAAGAAAATGCGAATTCCTGAAGTTTCTGGAAACGATCGTGGACAATGACATCAACGTCACAATCCGAAACGTTCACTCTGTCCTCAGCACCAATAAAATTAGGGGGTTACTCATACGAATGTCTTTCACGGGTAACATCTACACTTGCATAATCAGTCAATTTCTCTTCAATGGCTTCGCCAATCGTTGCATCACCTTCCCGCGCCAGAGCATTGGCTCCATCATGAATCACATCATGAAACGTCCTGCAGTATGGCATCGTAATTCCTTCCCAAGTAATGGAACAAACTTCGAATGGCTTCGTGTTGCATTTCATCAATATTCAGTATAATAGGGAACTTGGACAACAACCCTAGAGAGAAACAAATGTACGTGTAAGCGACCTGTCACGATAACCTTGGTTTTGATAAACTATAGAAACTGATAGAATTTGGAAGAACTCATTATATGAAGTTGATTAGACCTCAAGGAAAGAGTTTGATGAATTTGTTGCGAGTTCATGATAACTTTCATTAGGAACAATGACATTTCACATTAAAAAAAACATATTTATTCATGACAAGGACTAGTCGTCATTAATTACAATTACACCATAGTCGTAAAATCTGACATGTTTAAGTTTTGATTTCACAGAATCCATGCGACACAGTGCGTTACTTCCAAAAGAGGGTACGACTGGATTAGGTGGTCACACTCTATGATATGGCTGATTGAGTGTTACCGTGCCCAGAATGCGTGGAATCCCATTGATTCTCTCAGTAACAGTTTCTGGCCCGGATCGACGATTAAAAAAAATATGTGATATCGCTGGAACATTGCTGAGTGCTGCGTTAAATAACATTCACTTACTCGCCCAAAAAGAGATTCTTGATGCTTCCTCGTCATGACATTTTCGCTACGAGGTGGGCCGAGAAGTCTGACTATTACTGCAGCCTTGTGTGTACCCCCTTCGTCGGACATACCTGCTGTAAGACAGTCCAATATGCCCCTGTTTACTCATCCACGTTTCTGAATCGTTTCAGAATGTCCAGGTGGTACGTATGGAGCTGAATGTGAAATGTCATGTGGTGGGTGCTTGGACGGAGAATCCTGTAACAAAGGTACTGGGAACTGCATGAGTGGATGTGACGAAGGGTGGACTGGGCCCAGATGTGATGAAGGTAATTACAGGTGGTGACAGGTCAGCTGAAGTAAGATTCATTTAGAGATGCATCAAAGCTCACAATATCTGGCAACGTTACGAAACATTGGATTTGTTTGTTTCAGAATGCTCTCCTGGGTATTTTGGTTATAATTGTAACTCCACCTGCAAGTATTGCAGATCAGAGCGTTGTGATGCTTCAAGGGGATACTGCCTCAATGGATGTCTCCCCGGCTGGAAGGGGATACATTGTACAGCAGGTAATTAAGAGTCGTGATGAGCAGCACAAAGGACTATCACTGGACAGGCACAATATACAGCAGGTAAGAACTCAGGTGATGAACAACACAAAGGACTATCACTGGACTGGCACAATATACAGCAGGTAAGAAATCAGGTGATGAGCAACACAAAGGAGTATCACTGGACAGGCACAATATACAGCAGGTAAGAACTCAGGTGATGAACAACACAAAGGACTATCACTGGACAGGCACAATATACAGCAGGTAAGAACTCAGGTGATGAGCAACACAAAGGACTATCACTGGACAGGCACAATATACAGCAGGTAAGAACTCAGGTGATGAGCAACACAAAGGACTATCACTGGACTGGCACAATATACAGCAGGTAAGAAATCAGGTGATGAGCAACACAAAGGAGTATCACTGGACAGGCACAATATACAGCAGGTAAGAACTCAGGTGATGAACAACAAGATGGAGTATCACTGGACAGGCACAATATACAGCAGGTAAGAACTCAGGTGATGAACAACACAAAGGACTATCACTGGACAGGCACAATATACAGCAGGTAAGAACTCAGGTGATGAACAACACAAAGGAGTATCACTGGACAGGCACAATATACAGCAGGTAAGAACTCAGGTGATGAGCAAATCAAAGGACTATCACTGGACAGGCACAATAAACAGCAGGTAAGAACTCAGGTAAGGAACAGGACAATGGCGTATTAATGGACGAGCATGCATAGTGCAACAGTAAGAGGTTAGAATCGAAATCTCAATTCCGTAAAATAGTAGATGTGTGAAACTTGGGAAAGAGATGGCATTCACAATGAACATGAAGGATCGTAATGCTCGTCTCTATTTAACAGCATGTCCGGAGGGTATGTATGGTGATGGGTGCCTCTCGGTGTGTGGCAAGTGCGGGCACAACACCTCATGTGACCCCGTGACTGGACAATGTAGTGCTGGCTGTCTACCAGGATGGATGGGGGAGACGTGTGTTGAAGGTTAGTAAAGAAATTGTAAAGAATATCATATATATATATATATATATATATATATATATATATATATATATATATATACTTTTGATATATTTTTCATGGTGAAGTACTTGACATGGGTGCTTATTTGTCGTTATGGTCTGCTTTTGCTCGTCCGACACATCTTCTCCAGGAATACAGGGCTGATGAAACTGGACTGTTTTTGTTAATATGGTTGTTGTTGAAAGCCGCACACAACAATATTACAGTTATATGACGGCGGCCTGTAAATAATCGTGTCAATTATGATTGACATCGATCGAACTATTCCACCCCTGATCTTCGCGGGTCAAACTAGACAGAACAATGCATGCTACCTATGCAAACTGAAACATGTGTATTCACATGTAGCTTCATATAGTCGTAATGACTACAAGTAGTTTCCAATGTGTTTAAGCATACAACATTTGTCTGTGTATTAAAATTAATATATTATTATATCTTTCAAATAAAAGCGACAAAACCCTTTCAAGAAATCTCTGCAAAAAAAAAAGTCGACTGTTCGATTCCAACTTTTGCATTAGCATGTGTTTAAGATACGTCAATGTCGTATATTCTTTGCATATTTCAGAAATATATAGAGTTTATTTTTACTTAACGTTTAACATTCAGGATGCCCTGTAGGCAGGTATGGCGATGGTTGCACATCGACCTGCCACAAATGCCAATCTGGACAGTGTGACGCGGCTGACGGTACCTGTCGGCTGCAAGCTAAGATCATCAGTGAAAGAGGTAAAGGAGCAATATTAATTAAACAGCTGGTAAAGACTTGACAGGTGTACTCGGTGTACATAAGATGTGATGGGTCGATCCGATTACTTGGGAAGACAATCTGCCAATCCTGACGTTTGTAGTGTGTCATATTATAATATTACGAATCTCACTTGTCTTTGTTCTGTGTTTCAGGAACATCTGTGGTGGTGTTCCTGCTGACTGGAGCTTGTGTTCTGATCTTGCTGTTACTTCTCATAACTTTAGGAATTGCTTGTATGTTTCGGAGGTAAGTTTAACAGTTGTGATTCAGTTGACATTTTCTGTCTTACATTGACATAAATTATACCGTGAACTGTTCCCCGCTAAAAAAGGATAGAAACATGTAATTTGTAAAGCACCGAATCCAGTAATATTGATACTTGGATTGTCCCTGAAAGCATTACCTGTTCTATCGTCTCTTTCTCACGAACCTCTTCCATACATTGCGTAGGGCCGTGCCTTCTACAACATATCATTCCTTTTCAACGGTTTGCATCAGTTATGTACTATACGCCTACATGAATATATTACATCTGGTTCTCTAGACGCCTGCGCAGACTTTCCATGATACCTGAAAACCGAACAGGTAGAGACAATTGTAACTTCTTTGCGCATGAGAGATATAGTGGAGATTCCTCGTCAAGAAGCAATACTGAAGAATTCGTGACGTTCAACCCTCTGTACGCCGCCGACTTGGATGTTGTGTCTCCAGCTGCCACAAGTCTCGGCAGTAACGGAAACCAACAAAGCCTCCTCGACACTGATGTCCCTACCAACTCCGCTGTTGTTGTGCCCGACAAGGGCACAAGACAGGAATCGGGTGGCATCTCTGATGATTTAGCTGCTCCACTGCTTATAAATACCGAATGAAGTAACACTTTCGATTGTTGGTTTTCGCTCTTGCACGGATGCTTCGTATCATAAAACGCACTGATGAAAACGCAGTGGTTCTTCTTTTTCATAAGAAATCATATGTTATCACTTGGCTAATTTAGTCTTGGGTATATTATTCTCATAAGAGACAATTAACTAATATTTTAAAGTAAAACATGTCTACGTTGTAACGTGTTAAACAGTCACGGATATTGACAGTTGTTTTGGACGTTACTTGTTTCTTCGTAATAACCTCTTTTATTATGTACTTCAGTTTGAAAGATTGATTTTTCTGAAGTTGAGAAAAGTGATATTTCCATTGCAGTGAACATAACACGCGATATTTCACTGCAGTTATTTCCACATTAGGAAGACAGAACAATAACAACTGGTCAGTTATGGAGTTAATATCGCTTTTTGCCGTTTGTTTTTCTCTTGAATAAATTTCGCATTTAACTCGTCAATCGAGTTAGTTTCTGAAAGGGCCATATTTGTTACTTGACCAGCGTGTATTCCTTGACTTCCAACAGCGATCTCGTAGGTTTCAAGAATATTTTTATTTGAAGTTGATTTAGTATACCATCATATCCAAACGTATTTTAGCGACCTCAACTATTTTTTATTACTTTTGTTTGTATTTGATAAGATTTTGCAAATTCGGAACTACTTTTTTAGTCGCAATTATAAGGGGTGACGAAACGTCCCTGCGTGTTCAGTAGGGAGAATTCACGTTTAAAGGTTTTACATGTGTAATTAAAATAATTTCCGGTAGACAACCAACAAAAAGGATACAATAATGTGTCTCGTAAAATACCATGTTTCACAGGACACATGAAATATGTCATTATAAGGTACCATGTTTCGCGAAAATGTCCTACCTAGTTTTATATTGTTATCTTTTACGTATGACCTGCATGATATTAAAGAGAGTGTTGTCCAAGGAGTCGTTATTTTAGGAATGTGAAAGATACGCGATACATGATTACCAATGTCCCTTATATTTGTATCTTATAGTATCATCGTCTTATATTATTTTATAGGTCTTCGAAAGACATTGCTATTTCCTTTCTTTCACCTATCAGTGCTTAATACCCCCGGCCTCCCGTTTGCCCATTGTCCATTGCCTATTACCTATCAATGATAACTTAAGTGCTGGCTTCAATACTATCAGCGCTATAACTGTAAAGTGTAGGCTTCCATTGTCTATTGCTAATCACCTATCAGCGCCAATCATCTGTTGGCTTGCCTTGTTAGTTTCCACCCCTTGTTAGTTTCCACCCCTTGTTAGATTCCACCCCTTGTTAGTTTCCACCTTTTGTTATCTTATTAATTTTGTTGTCCTTACATGTACATATATATGTTCTCTGCCTCATGGCATTCATTCACCTGATGAAGGAGTAAGCATGTACTCCGAAACGTTGTGTTCCCCATAATAAATAAGTTGACATCCATTAATTCTCTTCCTTATTATTTTATAATTCACAGTTTGTTTTATTTCGTCTGTATTCTTTGTATTGTTGTACCATAAATATTACTATATTCAAATAGTTGATTCATGGCAAATGCTTTATAGATCGAGGACCAAAAGTATTCCTCTTGGCTAGACAGGTAAAATGCGTTTTTAATACTCTTTTAGCATGAGCAAATCTTGGTCTATTTTAATCATGTAAGCCACTGCACCTAATTCAACATTTCAATCGATGTAGGGGGAAACAGGATAATTTCATATCAATGTTATAATAACGTATTGTTTTAATTTGCCCTTTCAAGTGAACGAAACAAAAGCGAAGCCCTTTCATGATATCCACAGTAGCTGATGTTTGTGATAAGCTATATCGCCATTGTATACCAATGTGTCAAATGTGGTTTCATCGATCTTGTTTGTGAAAGTTTGTGAAAATAATTCGGTACTTGTTTTATTACCAGCTTGGCTAAAACTCCAGTTAAGTCACCCATTTATCAACAACTAAATCGTTAACAGCTGCACTTTTTACATGCTAGTATTTGAAGTAAAACTATTATTCTGGATTCGAAGTAAAAGGATTGTTCTTTAGGGTTTTGAAATTCATTTTTGTCGATAGGTACGTTTGACTCGAGATTACACAAGCAATTGTATGTGTGATTGACCGCCAATAAAATCTTGTCCAGCAACAATTACAACTAGTTATCAGCCAGTGGATTATTACCAAAGGCCTTGTTGGGTTTTGATGAAAATTGTAAAAGTTCTTGAAGCAGATGAATGAAAACAAACATTCAAAACAAATTATTGTTAGTTATATTTTCTATACTTTACAAACATCCCCGTTAGAGATGGAAATAGACGAATGGCGACTGTTTTAGAATAAAGGTTAAGGTTCTGATTTCATGTTAAATATTGTTAAAACATTTAAACCTAAAATTCAAACGCTTCAGTATATTAAATTCATAGCTTAAAGGAATCTTCAAATTCTTGTGAAAATCATATTATTCGTCTATCACCTACCAAATATAGCAGACATAACGCATAGACAGGTGTGGTAGACGGGGTTTTACACTCATTGCTTCAAACTACTTACCTCGAAAGTGATTGGCCTGTACGATACATACGACCCGAAGCTGAGTTATCATTCACTTTAAGATATTTGTGCCAGTGTAGCAGACTCAAATTGATCCCTCAAAAATTTACTCTGGCATTCACTCCCCACTACGAGGCCCAAACACTCACTCAAGGCTCAGATCACTCCCCGTCGGGCGTAAATCAGTCCCCAACATTTTTACAGTATTTTACTTCTGGTCAATCAATCAATCAATCTTTATTGTATGAAAGGCCATTGGCCCATATACACATACAGATAAACAATATCGTTTACAGCTGTACAGCTTATTATATAATCATTGGATAACTAATATGATGCTTGACATGTATTAGAGGTATTGTAATAACAGTGGAAATAACCACAGTGGCAGTAGTAGTATAAAATACAAAAGGAATGGAATAGCATAGCACGACGTTCAATACAAAATAATCTATCAGTAATATACTCATCATGTCATGAAAATTTGACAATTTAAATGTATATGCATTTCTAGTAGAAACAAACAGACAAAAATGAAATGTAGATACTCCTGATCTAGATGCGAAAGTTTCAAAACAACTATTTTTTTCTGGACATATCGGATTCACTAAGTAATTTACTACGCACTCGTAGACTTTGATAGATGTATTGTAATATCTTAGTTAATTTTTGACTAGGGATACCATTAAAAGATAGTATTTTGTTCATGGAATAGTGGTTCTTAGTGATATCAGGCATATATTTCAATCTTAGGTTGTCGTAAATTGGACATATAAACAAAAAGGTCAGTTTTGGCATACAGTTCTAAAGCTTTCAGATGTCCGTGTGATCTTCCTACCGGAAAGGTTAGTAGCTGATTGTTCTATTGATGCCATGCATTAATGTTATTTGTGTACTGAAGGTAGGTGTGCATGAAATAATCTATATACATGTTTGTTAAACGAACATGTGACATCAATCGCCCGTTACAATTGTGAAAAGATATTCTACTCTTAAAAGTGTCAGCTTCCTCAAATAGTAAGGTGATAATTCAATTTTATTCCACTTTAGTTTTTTTCTAATCATTTTAGTTTCACTTTAGTTTTGTCAAACTTCGAATCACAGAATGCAGTTGTCGGGCACTTTCGTGAGTGTAAAAGTGTGATATCCCGACTGACGGAACGATATCGACAAACGGATGGGTTACATCGATAGACATTGCTGCGTTTAAATAGTACATACATACTGGGATCTCACTGCAAATAATGTAGACACGACTGAGTGTATGAGCGAATACTGTTAAATGTCGCAGTCAGCAATATTCCAGATACACCATAGCGACCTGTAGATGCTGCCTGCTGATATGTTATACTGTTTCGATTTTGGCAAGACTTTTAACTTAAGGTTCTGGCATATTGATGATCTGATATCGTTCAAAAGATGTCAAATAGCCAATTCCCTTCCACCGGATAACCTACCCGAGCTTGAAGTAAAATAGACCAGAGAAACCGTCTCATCTGTTTCATATTTTGATAAAACCCGTGAAGATCAGGGTCTGAACAGGTCTTCAGCGTCTCATGCTTGCCGTAAAAGGCGACTATGCTTGTCGTAAGAGGCGACTTGACTGGGTGGTCAGGCTCGCTGACTTGGTTGATGTTTGTCATCGTATCCCAATTGCGTGGATCGATGCTCATGATCACTGGATTGTCTGGTCCAGACGCGATTTTTTTTTTTACAGATCGCCGTCATATAGCTGGAATATTGCTGAGTGCAGTGTTAAACAAGAAACAAAAAATCATATTTTGATATATGCCCTCGGGTCGAAGAGTGCAAATTACTTCACGTTTCAGAGTATTCTGACTGTGTATACTGTGAAGACAAGTATGTAGATGCAAAGTGTTGATATAATATAATTATTTATTTCATATTTTGTTTTTGTATGGACACAAGATCTTTTTCTAAAAAAATAATAAGCCCAAATATTATTATAAAATGGGCCTCTTGCACCGATGTATTTTTAGTATAAAGATCTTTTTCAAGCATTTTCGTGGACAATATATTTTTACAATCCCATATAGATAAAAACAATTTCTGAGAATATTTTGATATATACTGGTCAAAGTTTTTAAAGATCACCGCTTTAAAAGGTAACTATCAAATTGTGTTCATCTGTTGAAATAGCCAAAGACAATATTGGGTGAAAACATGTACAATGAACAAAAGTCCGTTGCTATGTCACCAAATACCAACAAACAACATGTGACCAATAATCAGTCAAATCACCGTCAAAATCAGAGTATCTGACCAAAATTGAAACGCCAAATAATAAAAACAGTAGCGCGTGTTTGTGATCCACCGTCGTCTCATGCTCCCAATTAGTGTCTGGATGCTTGCCAAGGGAAGACTGTTCCGCTCTTCATTAAGAGCACTGCCTTGTTCCTGTAGAGTTGTCTGAAGGACAAGGCGTCTTGGGAGGGCGATCTGCAGTTCGTTCCACATGTGTTCGATAGGGTTGAGGTCTGGTGACCGGGCTGGCCACCCCATGCGGTCAGTTGTCTCCTGCTCTCAGTAGGCACCAACGACTCTGGCACGATGAGGTCGTGCGTTGTCGACCATGAGGATGAAGTCAGGTCCGATTGCTGGTACCAGCATACGGTCCCGCGTACTCATCCAGAATGTCGCCCCTTTAGCACACACCTGTCATCGTGCGCCGCTGCAGGACATGGAGATGGGTTCTGCCGGCTCTACTGATCCCACCCCAAATCATGATTGAGCCCCCTTCATAGCGGTCGTGTTCGGCTACGTTGAAATCCTAATTCTTCACTTTGTTTACTCCACCCTCGGGCTCGACGATCTGAGAAGTCTAGACAATATCTCGATTCATTAGTGAAAAGTATGGGAGTCCAGTCCTGGTCTGTCCAAATGACGTGCCTGTCTGTGATGCCGGGTCAGGGGGATGTCTCATGGAAAGGTTAATTCACTGTCTGAGAAGAAGCGTTTACGCCACTGGCGTTCCGCAGGTCATCTGGTGGCAGTCAAGAAGTGATGACGTCTTGTGCCTAATTCTTCGGTCCTCAATTGATGTCTTTGACGCCGAGGGGGCATGCGCGCATCCACTCGTTGCAATCCTCAGTAGCAAATGTTGTTTTTTTGTACTCTCTGTTAATGATGTGCAACAATTCTGTCACGATACATCCAAACAAGGTTTTCCCAGCACCTCGTGCACATCATGCCCAAGACTGCATGCCGAGTTGCGTCCCTTGGGCACGCCAGAAACCTATGATTGTGGATTCGAATCCCGGTTCGCCCCAATTATGTTGCTAGGTTTGTCAGCACCATACCCGTGCTCGTGGGTTTCATCGAAGTGATAAACGTCTGAGGCCTGCATCACTTCGGACTTTCCTCCCACATTAAGCTGACACGCCGTGATATAACTGTAATACTGTTAAAAGCGGAGTTGAACCCAACTCACTCACTAACTCACTCACTCACTAAATGCCCAATAAATGTACAGTCACCGATTTGATAGTCAGTTCCAAATCTTCCATTCACAATATGTATGTTCAAATTTTAACACATTTCCAAAAGATTTTTTTTTCAAAGCTATTTAGTAATTTATCACATGAAAATCTTTCCATCTCAAATTGTGTAAAAAAGTCTACTGAGTAAATATTACTTTCAACATGGTGAATAACATCGTTCTCCACATAGTCCCGCGTCACACCGATTCTATTGTTCATGTACAATGGACCCGTGAAGACCCGGGGTAGAATAGGTCTTCAGC